TGGGGCAGAGGCCTGCCAACGGCTGCTGCCCCCCCCCCAAGAGCCCTTCTGACCGCTGCCTCACTCACCGTGCCTCAGCGGCCAGGAGCTCGTCGTAGTGGGACGAACGCTGGTCGTCGTCTTGGCGGTAGCGGATGACGGTGGCCAAGCCCTTGCTCACCAAGGCTTCCGCAATGTTGCTGCCAGAGAAAAGGGAAAGCAACCTGCAGCCTGTGGGCCGCATGCGACCCAGGTCGGCTCCTAATGCGGCCTAGTGAAGGTCCTGCACCTCCCACAATGCTGTGCTAGCATTCCAGTTCTGCTACCCAGCCTCTCTCCTGGCAAAGAGGAAAGTGTGTGAGTGGGTGAGCGAGGAAGCAAAAAAGAGCTGGCTTCCGGGGTCTCCCCACTGGCGAGCGCTGGGATTCCCGGCTCTCCGGAGCCCTCGGGGTTCGTGCCCAAGTGGATCCGTCCTAACCTATCATCCCAGCCTTGTCCTCTCTTGTCCCACTGGAGCTGCTGTTGATTTCACCCAAGGACCCCTCCTCTCTGTGGGGGTGGTGATTCCACCGTCACCTCCAGCCCCCGAAAGGGCCACAGCCGAGGGCTGACAGGCCGGCCGCGGCCTCCTTCCTCCCTCCCTCCAGGAATGGGGCTCTCCCACTGCCCAGTCAGTCCGCCTCTTCACAGCCCAACTGAGAACATCGTCAGACCACTTAATGAACTTGGTTCTGCCCTACAAATTAGATTGCGTGCATATCTCGTATTCTAATGACCAGGCTTGCTTTTCTACCAGGATATGGGAGTGCCTGGCTTTGCCCACAAGGATCACCAGCCATAAGACTAAGGGCAGGTGCGACGTTGCTACCTTCACAACAGACAAAGCCTGGAAGGGACCATTCAGTCCTGGTCAAAAGGGTCCCAGGACGTCTCCTGTTGGAGAGGGGGAAGAGAGGCCCACGGAGCAGCTGCCCCACAGCCCTTCCCCAGATGCCTGGAAGGGGCATCCGGGACAACCACAGTCGGGCGCTCCTTTCCACCCTGCGGGTTCCGACACGGCTCCTCCCTCCTTGGTCTTTATGAGTTGGAGGCAGACGCTTTCACCCAGCCCCGTCCGGCTTCCAAGCCGGTTTAGGCTGCTTGCAAAAGCAATGTACCCAGGGAGCTGGTTCAGGCTTTGCCCCTCTTCCAAGACACTTCCTTCCTTGCCAATACGAACCTGTCTTCTGGCACGCCCCCACCCCCAGGCCCAGTTTCAAAAAAGAAAAAAAATGAACAAGTTACAGGCAGAAGAATCAAGGAGGGAAATCTGCCTCCAAAACCTGACCAGCTCCCCTTAAGAGAGAGAAGACAGGCCCTTTCAGGAAGGGGTTTCTGGGAGAGGAGGGTGGTCTCCGCTTCGTAAATGGGTTAAGGGACATCAAAACATGTTAAGAAAACTCCAGAATTGTTTCTATTGAGTATAATACCAGACAACATAGCTAAGACAAAGAAGTGCTTAGTTATATATATATAGTCGCTGCAGCCAGAATTCTTTATGCCAAAAATTGCAAGAGACCGGTGATATCGAAACAAGAGGAGCTTAATTGAGAAGATGCGGGAAGCGGCAGAAATTGACATTTTATCAGAAGTGTTGAAAGACTGTCCAATACAAAAGGCAACTGAACAATGGGGTTTATTTTATAAATGGTTCGAGTCACCAGACAGTGTCTGAATAATATAGATCTAAACTAGGATGTAAATGTGAGTGAAAACCTGGAGGGCAACGAATAGTAGAAAAGCGGAAAGTTTGAATTTTGATATTGCAGTATGAATAGACTGGATGTCAGTATATTTTGTGTTTCTCCTCCCCCTCCTCTTTTTCCCCCTTACATTTCCCTTTACCCTCTGTATCCCATGTCTTATCTCAAGTTATTAAATAAAAAAAAATGTTGAGAGAGAGAGAGAGAGAGAGAAGCAAGCAGTGAAGAGTACAGTGGTGCCCTGCATAGCGACGATAATCCATTCCGAAAAAATCGTCGCTATGTGGATTCATCGCTATGCGGGGCAAAAAAGCCCATAGGAACGCATTAAAACATGTTTAATGCGTTCCTATGGACAAAAAACTCACCGTTCTGCGGAAATCCTCCATGCGGCCGCCATTTTCGCTGCCCAGTAAGCAAGGAAAGGGCGCGAAAACACAGCGGGCGGCCATTTTCTTTACCCGGTGGCCAATTTGGAACCACCAATCAGCTGTAGGAAAAACATCGTTATGTGATAATCAGTAAGCGAAACAGCTTACCAATCATCGCAAAGCGATGTTTTCCCATTTAAAACATTGTTATGCGATTGCTTTTGCGATCGCAAAAACTCAATTGCTATGTGGATTCGTCGTTAAACGAATCGCTCGTTAAGCGAGGCACCACTGTATCTTGAGAATGTGATTATGCCCCTGGATGCATTGCTGCATTCACCAGGCACACAGTAAATCCGGATGCAGCCGCACATGTAGACTGGCCGAAGGGAGCAGAATGGGGGGGGGAGGCCCCTTGTAACAGCAGGGCCCCAACCTGGAAATGACGGCCCTATGGGGTAGATGGGGAAGATGAAGGCAGAGTGCTGCGCTGCACGACGGTGGGGGAACAGGCCACCACTATCCCGGGATGGCACCAGAGATGACCCTCCAGCCAAAAGGGAAAGGAGCCGGGGGGGGGAGAGAGGTTCTGAGTCCTCAAAGAAGGGCCACCGGGTGGATGGGGGGTTGGCCAGCCATCTGGGCCCGGGAGAGATCAACCCACTTGCAGGATCCCTAAAACACTCACGGCGAGAGATTGTGTCAGAGGAAGCCAGTCAGAAGAACACAGCTGGATTTGGGGGAAGGCTGGGTGTTTTTTGTCAAAGAAAACAGCAGGGCCGAGAAAGGGGCTCCTGCCCAGCTGAGAAAGGGGCCCAGAGAGGGGAGGGGCTCTCAAACCTGTGGTGCCCTCCACCCTTCGCACCCCAGGCAGAGCTCGGAGGGGGGGGTGTCTTCCCAATCTGCCACGGGGGCTCTCACTCTCCAGAGACACAGGGCTTTGGACCACTTTGCCTCCCAGAAGCAACAGTCCACAGACCGTGGCAGGAAGACAACGGGGCTGTTGGATGCAGAGGCCTGAGAGTGGCCTGGCATCCTCAATTCCTCCCCCGCCAGCCACGCTGTCCTCCCCCCCTTGAAAGGCAGTCGCACACACACACACACACAACCACAGAAGCCTCTGAAAGGCAACCGGGAGGACGGCAAAGGTGATTCTCCCAATTTAATCCCACATGAAAGGCAGGGGCTGGAAGAGAGGAGATGAAGGCGGAGGCGGGAGAATCCGGTTAGGCTGTGAAAGCCGGGCTTTGCCGCTCAAAGGGCTGCTCAGCCAGAAGCGGCCAACAAGCTCTCTGTTCTCTCCCAACAAATGCGGAAACCGGCCCCCAATTTCCTGCAGAAAATGAAGTGGGTGAGCGTTCAAACGGCGCCTCCCCCCAACTGCGCCAGGCCGGCTCTCGGCCGTGGGAGGGCTTCCCACTGAGCAGGCGCAGGGCAGCCCGGCCTGTCCAGCCTCGCCGCCACCACCCCTGCCCTGCCACTGGGAGCTGCAATCGCGGCAAGGTCCAGGCGGGCACAGAGCGACCTCACGAGGAACAGCCCCTGCAGACGGGAGGGAAGTCCTCAAGCGGGCACAGCCCAGCAGGGCGAGCCCCTTCCTACCGTGGTCCTGGACAGCCTCAGCCCTGCCTCGCCCAGGGTGGAAGCGGGGCTGGGGGGGGGAGAGGAGAATGAATGGGCACCCTGCTTTCTGCAGTAAAGCCCCCACTCAGGCTGCCGCCCCCCCACCATCCCCAGCACCCGACCTTCCTGAAGTGAACTCTCCATCAGTTAAAGGCTCACTGTCTGAAAAGGGACACTGTGCCCACCTTCTGCCCCCTTCCTGCCAGCCTTGAAATGCCAGCCGGGCTCTGGCCAATCAGCAGGCAAGCTCCTGCAAGGGGCCCCCCAACCCCAGCCCCACCCCAGAAATCACAGGAGCAAAGAGTCTCAAAGGCCTCTGAAGCCGGAGGGGCAAAAGGTGAAGCGGGCGACATCCCCCATCATGGGGGTCTCAGCCAGAAGGGGGGGGAGGAGATCCTCCACTGAGATCTTCAAGAGGAGGGGTCCTCCCTCCCTCCACCCAAAAGCCCTGCAGAGAAAGGGCCCCCCCCCAGCCATCCTTAATAGGCTTTTCATGGGGAGGTGGACACTAGCAGAAGCAAGCTGCAGGCAGGGAGGGATGTGGATAGAAGAAGCCCTTCCCTGAAGCCTCCATCCCAGCAGCACTCATGAGGAGGGTGAGACCTCAGCCTGGCCCAGGAGCCTGTAGCCAGGAACTCCCCCCCCACACACACACACACACCCGTAGCCAGGAACTCCCCCCCCCCACACACACACACACAAAATAGCTCCACCCCACAGAAGCCTGCAAAAGCCCCAAAAGCGTGGTAGCCCCATGGGGCCAGTGGGAAGAACGAAAGACCCCTACTCACATGCCGCCGATCGTGACCGTGGCGCAGGTGCGCTCTGAGAAGGCGGGCACCGTGTCCGTGGCGCTGCTGGCCGGCCGGATGTAGTCCACCGTGACGTTCACCTGAATGCAAAAGCAGGCGGGCAGGAGGGTGGGTGGGTGGCATGTCAGGAAAGGAGGGCCAGAAAGGGTACAGGGCACCAACCCCCTCCTCTTGCCCACAGCCTGGAGTGCTCAGCCCCAGGCACCTGCCACCGTGGCCACGGCCCACGGGGAAGAGGCCAGCCTCCATGGCCGTGAGGCGGCAGAGATGAGAATCCGTGGCCCCAGAGCACAAGGGGCACCAAACACGCCACATTCAAAGCACGCCGGCAAGAGAGAGGGAGCACCCGGGCCACACCCTCGGTGGGCGAGCCAGGCTGCCCACTAGCCTCCTGGGCACAAGGGCGCCTCTGCCACCCGTCCTCCTGCAAGCCGGCCGCGCCATCAGGAGGGGCAAGGAGGAGGAGGAGGAGGCCTGCCCTCCTTTTTTGCAGGCAGGGAACGCCCTGGCCTCCCCAAGCCAGAAGGATTTGGTGGGGGGGGGTGGAGGCTCCTGCTCCCACCTCCAGAAGCGACTCTGCTGCCTCTCTCTACAAGGGCTGGGGGGGCTGGGGGGCACCTTCCAATCCCCAAGGCCCTTTTGGGGGCAAAGAGAGGAAAGGAGACACGAAAAGAGGAGCTCAAAGAGCAAGGGTCCCATGGGGGGGGCCACCACCACCACCACCACCACCACCACCGGTAGCAGCAGCAGCAGCAGAAGGAAGCCAAGTGTCCGTGGCCCAAAGCCAGCCCCCCCTCCTCTCCCCCACGCAGAGCCACGCCTGCCTTCTCTGGACCAAATCAGGCCTGGCAGAAACCACCGTCGTGGCCCCTGAGCCACGGGGCAGGGCAAAAAGGGCTGCCACGGCTACTGCCGCCACCTCCACAGCTGCCCCTTGCTCTGCTCTCCCTCCCTCCCTCCCCACAGCCAAGTCAAGCGAGGAGGAGGAGGAGGAGGAGGGTGAAGTGAGTGCGAGCGAGCAGAGAGTAATTACCCCAGTGGGATCTTGGCCAGGAGGCCCAAATTAGCAGCCTGGGCTTGCAGGCAACACCGCCAGGCTGTCAATCACAGCCAGAGGTTACGCCTCTCCATTCAGGCCACTTCTGCCGCTGTGGCAGCACCACAGCGCCCCCTGGTGACCCGCAGTGAGGCATCTGCCAGGAGCTCCTTGGGGGGGTCTCACCTGAGGGCACAGGGAGGGGAGAGGAGAGGAGAGGACCCCCACACCTCCCACCAAGACCCCTTCGGCCGCTCAGCACAGCAGCGGGGGGGTGGCCTCTGAAACAACCCTGCCCCTCCTGTCCCAAAACCTGCCTGGGAGGGAGGGGCTTCTGGTCGCGGTCTCCCCCTTCCACGGGTACACAACCAAGCGGCCCATCTGGGCGGGCGGTGCTCTGCGCGGCGCTCAGGACCATCCAGACTCCATCCACCGGCTCCCCTTGGGCCGCACTGAGATCTCCACCGTTCAGCTCCCAAATGTGGGGCTGCCCCCCCCTCTAGAAACAGTAGCGGGGAAAGCCGAGCCCTTCCCTGGTCCCCTGACCCACTTTTGCCCTGAACCGCTGGGAGGTCCGGCCGCCAGAAGGGCCCCCAAGGGCCGGAGGCAGAAGGTGGCCCTCCCAGGTAGGAAGAAGGCA